TAATCCACTGGCTAGGTACTGCTATTTGTTATCTATAATTTATTTACATCATGCCAACCAATGGAAACTAGTAACTTGGTAGTTTATCTATTTTATCTACCCTCATTCTCAGTTGTTTACAATTTATATATACTTTGACAGCTGGAGTGCCAATGGAGAATATACTTTATCTAGGTGGTCCAAATATTGCCGCAGAAATCTACAACAAGGAGTATGCCAATGCTCGAATATGTGGAGCTGATAAATGGAGGAAACCTCTGGCGAAGTTTCTACGACAACCTCATTTTATTGTCTGGGACAACAGTGACCTTGTTACCCATGAAGTCATGGGTGGCTTGAAAAATGTCTATGCTATTGGTGCAGGTAAGCTTCAAATTAGATTGAGATTGTTTGGACAAACTTTTCCCTAAAAAATTTCAGAAAGGAAAGTAAAAGGAAAAAAAAATTAAATAAGCGTTTCCATGAGCTAAAGTTAGTTTAGGCATAAGTTAATTTGTAGAAACTGTTATATATTCTCTAAATTTATAATTTTAACTTGTGCATAAGCTAACTTTATCTTACAGTAGAAGTGATTATGGAGAAACTTGTATAAACATGTCTTTAATAACATAAGCTTTATGGTTAATGTGAAACTCGTCGAGTTTTGTTTGCCATGACTTTTATTTGTTACAAATAGTTGCAACATTTGAAGATAACCACCCTTTGTGATACCTAATTCTAGTTTTTCAGTTTTCATCCCCAATTTTCGTTCTGAAGGCTATTCAAGCATTACAATGTGCTAAAATGTAACTTTGATTAATGACTATAGGAGAAATGAACAGAAGAAAGAAAACTAGTTGGGAAACATACCCAATTCAAATAAGGGCTTAAGGGCTTTGTCATTGGTCAATTTGATTAAATATGACATTACCCTTTTTCTTATGATCGTTTTCTCCTTGGATGTGCTAGTTGTGTAGTTGGCTTAAGTCAATTTCACTTGTTGATTTGCTTCCTTTTTCCTGACATTGTATTCAACTTTACTTTTTTCACATTCCAAATGTCCGAGCTCCATATTTGCTGTTGTTTGGACCAAATCTCATTAATTCTGTTTCTCCTGGGAGTACTGGCTTGGTCTCAGTACTGACTCCAAGCTACTATGCTAAGAATCTTAGTGTCTTGTGTACAAATCAAAGTTTAACCTTACCAAAATTATACAACAAACTATAAAGTTTATCTAGTACATAGTGTAGTGAATGAGGGTTATTCTACTACCTAACCAATATACTTTCATAAGTTTTGAGAAAGTAAACTATTAATTATCAAGGGTAATTGGAGATAAGGTTCTTATATCAAAGACTGATTAAGGAATTAATCTTCACCATAAGACATACACAGAAGAATATATACAAGTTCAAATAAAATTCAACTGATAATAACTGGGTTAAGTAATGTCTGTGTCGAGATCCAAAACCCTATCTTACCACAAGGAAAGATTTAGTAAGATTAATCCTACTCTTTATGGATCATGAGATTAAATCCTAAAGTTTTCTCTCCATTGTGAAAGAGTTTATCTTCTATGTTAGATGGCTCTCTAAACTATCCCCGAAGAAATATATGTTTTTCTTTGCTTATAGATGTCTATTTATGCATAATATGTTTCGTGTCAGAGTCCTTTAGCAAAGATCAGGTTTCTGTTGTTGGTGGTTCTAGCCTAAAATGGTGCCCTGATGTGAAGCCAAAATCAAATACTTGAATTGGAAACAGCCCTTAATTAGCACAGTCATGCCTTGGACACTTGTTTACATTGTAATTACAAGATTTCCTCTGAAGTGAACACACTGAGTTAGGGGCATGCACTTTTGAGAGAATTCTGTAACTATGCCTTAAGTAGGTCAATGGAACAACCTCATTTTTTATACACCAATTTTTACACTCATCTCACGCGTCTCTTTTCCTTTCCTTTCCTATCACATCACCCCCATCAAATACATCATTTTTTTCTCTTTCTGGTTCTATCTCTCTCCTCCTTCCTAAGGTGTATACACTATAAAAGATAAGAAGCCTTCATTTTTCTGATTGAAAATAAGGTGTAGTCATGTCATGCAGCAGCAACTATATGAGAAATGTTACAAACTACATACATACGAAGGCTTCACTTTTCTGATTGAAAACATTGTGTAGTCGTGTCATGCAGTGGGAAACTACATAGTCATGCAACACAAACTGCATAGCCATGCAGCAGAAACTACAAAGCCATGCACTTTTGACTCTGAATTTTGACCTCAAAATAACAGCTTTAGTTTCTGTGGTATGCTTGAAAGTCTTAGGGATGGACTCATCTATTTGCATATCTATATTCATGGAACTAACATTACTCTTCTGTTAAATAAAACAAAAGAAGCACATTCAATGTGATATTACTGCAACCTATTAAGTAATTTCATAGCTCTGCAACTATACGGTATCTAATGGTTATGAACTTCTTAAGAAGTCATAACAGAAGAGTTACTTTTATTGCAGTTTTTACCAAAATTGGATTTTTCATGTTCGCAAAGTGTGATTGATTCTCCCAATGGCAAGTGCCTAGATCAATCCATTAATAACTCACCTTTGTTATTTTTGGTAGTAATACACTTTTGATCTTCAGTGTTTTGGGTGTCAATGCCATTGCTTGTTGTCTTCCTTTTGATTAGTATTGCTGTAGCAAATGGAAAATGGGAATGTTTTTACTGTGATAATAGCATCCCCCTTATTCATTTCCATAGCTTGCATTAACTTTGATTGACAATCTTTACTACATATTGTCCTTATTATTGTCAGGTATGGTAGCAGCCCTTACCAATGAGAGTGCTACCAGCAAATCTGTATACTTTGCACACTGCACATCAGAGATGATATTTATCACTCACTTGTTGGCTGAAGGACCTGAGAAACTTGCAGGGCCATTATTGGCTGACACTTATGTGACTTTACTAAAAGGTCGTAATGCATGGTATGGCCAGATGCTAGCTAAGGGTGAATTAAGCCCAGACATGGGTGACAGCATCAGTGGCAAAGGAATGATTCAGGTATGTTGTGCATTTTTCCCCTTGGTTTGTTCCAAACACATACTCTGAATTCCTTAACTGTTCTAATTGCACCTTGGAATGTACTAATAGTATTATAATATGCATTAAAAAGTGAATATTATGAACAAATGCTATAATTCCACTTTCAGTAATTTTAGATGTAGTTTAGTGGAACTTTTGTATGTTATACGACCCAACAAAC